TTGGAAGATTAGGAAGTGTAAAAATCAGTAAAATCATGTATGTACTATATCAACTGTCGTTACTCTTGATTATCCACATGGCTCAAAAAGACCATTTGGATCGATATTGGAAATTATACCATAAAGCTAAATTATTAGTGTTTTATTGTCTTGTGAGTTTATTAATGTGCTCCATGTTATTACTTTTTCCATATTTAATTTTAAGAGATAAAGGGAAATAGCACAGATCATGCTGCCATGTTCATGATCAGAAACGGATGTGGCACAACATTAATTAATGTATATTCAAAACTTATTTATTAATAATTGAGACTTGACACCAGAATTTATTAGAACAAAACTTTTAAGCTTGTTTTTAAAAAAAGCTAGTTTTAAGCTTGTTTAAGGCATAATGGGGAAATCATAGGCTTGAAGAATATGACTAATATAGGCACATTAGATTTTGATGTGATTCTCAAAAATTTGAGAGTTAGTATATGCATATGTGTGTATACCTATATACATGTCTTAGCAACAGAAAAATGTTCTTGGATTAAGAAGTACTTATTACTAATAAAAATAACGCACTTGAATTTCAGGCTTACTTAAACTATTTTACACTTACTTGTATATTATACAACCATATAGATATAGTTATGTATAGATGTGTCCATATTGTATTTTTCTATGCACTTTTACTTCAGTCATGTGACAAAATATTTAAAGTAGTGTAACTTGAGGCAAATGAGAGAACTTGCAAATTGCATATCAATTAAACACATCACCTTTAGAACTAAATATAACCATGAAGCAAAACAAAACAAACAACAACAAAAATCAACAAGGAAAAACACCTATTGTTTGCTTAGCTTCAAATTCACTTTCAGTTCTACACAGAATTTCACCAGTGATTAAATGAGCAAAATGTTCCTTATTAAAGGGAAATGCAGTGTTGAGCCTCTTCATCAAAGAATATTACTGCTGACGAGCAATGTAGGGTTCCACTTAGCATCTAATTGAGGAGCTGCAGTCAAGACAGCAGACTTCACTTTCTTACCCTCCATATGCTGTCTTCTGTGCTGGTTAGTAATTATCTGCACAAGCTACTTTAAAGAACTTTTAATCAGTGCAATCTAATGGATCACAGTGAAAGTTTAGGGGAAAAACACCTCCAGACAGATATAGAAAAAATGCAAAATATTCTAAAAGGTAGAAAAGAGTGCAAAATAACCTTCTAAAAGAGAGATTGAGGCCTAAGGCCTGCTGTCAAAAGAAACAAAATGAAAATATGAAGAAACATTTTCATGGCCTGAGGATGTAGGCTGATCTTGGGGAGGGCTGTGGGAACAGGAAGACTTTCCAATTTATCATCTCAGAATTTAATAAAGTCAGAGAATTGAATGAATAAGGAAGACTACATCTACAGTATGGAATGTTAGCGGTGAAAGGAAATAATCGACCTAGTAAAAGACATAGAGGTCATAGTTGCATATTACTAAGTGAAATAAACCAATTTTAAAAAGCTATAGTCTCTCTAACTCCAATTTAAAAAAGCAAACATAAAATATTTTTGCCTGATGCTGGTGCCTCTTGCCACCAGATATTCAGAAGGCTGAGATCTTAGGTTCATGTTTCAAAGCCAGCCTGAGTGGAAAGTATCTCCAATCAATTGTTAAAAAGTCAGAAGTAGAGCTGAATCTTAACAGCTCTTATCTTGAGCAAAAAAGCTCAGGGACAGTGCGCAGGCTCTAAGTTCAAGGCCTAGGACTGGTTCTATGTGCCTTAGTGCACGCGTACACGCACACACACACACACACACACACACACAGACAAATTAGAAAAGGCATAATAAGGAAGAAAAAATATTTAATTGGTTGTTAGCAGATGATGAATATGCACAGCACAGATTTTTAGAATTGATTGGTATCTTATAATGCTAGCACACTGATTCAAACTCCTAGAGCACATTTTTTGTTTTCTGGGTTTTATTTATTTTTTAATTTTTGTTAGTCATGGGGCTTGAACTCTGGATCTGGGCTCTGTCCCTCAGCTTTTCGGCCCAAGGTGCTTGCTCTACCACTTGAGCCACTGCACCACATCAGGTTTTCTTAGTGGTTTAATTGGATAAAAGGATCTCACGGACTTTCCTGCCTGGGCTGGCTTTTAACCGTGAGCCTCAGATCTCAGCCTCCTGAGTAGCTAGGATTACAGGTGTGAGCCACCAGCACTCGCTTTCATTCAGCACATTTTAATCTCATATAGATTGTGGAGTTTGGATAACAATGGTGTTTAATGTAGGTTCATCACTTGCACCAAATGTAAATAGATGTTGGGAATGAAGACAGCATGCATGAGGAAACTCTGAATTTAAGAAATTTCTATGCCTTTCTCAAGCTTGCTATGAAAAATAAATGTCTCTAAAAATTGAGTCATAAAACATTAACAAAGACTAGTTCTACATTTTTTGTTAAAAATAATTGTGAAAATAATTTATCTTTTTCTTTGATACAGCCTACAAACCATTATAAACAGTAATTATTTTACCTACCAAATTTGGCTACAATTAGATTTTTGGAAGAGTCTAATTTGGAAGAGTCGAAATTTCAGAAAGTCCAGTTTTCCAGTGTATGAACTGGATATAGAACCATTTCTTTTAAAGTAAACTAAAAATTTGAAATGTAAAAGTATGAACATTGAATGCATAGCTTTTAGCTAATAAATTTTCACTAACAAGGGAAATGCAAATGAGTGACTAAATATATTTTCCCACAAAAAAGTGATGACAAATATATGTGTATTGACATGCTCAATATATGTCTTACATACAGAAAATATGAACAGAAAATTATATGATTCTTACATTCCCTGGTTATTTATGCTCAATATGGTATTAGGAAATCATGCACTATGTACCTTAGATTTATAAGCACAAATTGTCTTATCTTTCTTCTGATGAAATGAGGCAGCATATTCTTTCCTATCATCCTAGTTTTATTGTGAGATTTTCATATTAAATGGTTATATTGAGCTGATTATATCACTTTAGTACCTTGGAAGAAACCTTAAGAGGATGGATGAGCTCACCAGGCAGGCTGGGTTAGGTCATAGTTTATCCAACCGTAATTCAAGGGCTGTGTTCTCTAAGTCTAAAAGTTATGGTCATGTCAAGGGTCAGAGCCAAAATATTTTTTATTAAAAGTTGGAACTTCTTGTTCCTGCAGCTGTTAAGCTTTAGTTGGAATTATTTAGTTGAAGTTACTTGGGATTTATATTAAGGCTCAAGATTTTTTCTGTCTGCCTCCTTTAAAAATAACTATTACTTTGTATTAGCTAAACATTGATACATCTATAGTAAAGAAAAGTTCATTATCTGTCTGTCTGTCTGTCTGTCTGTCTTTCTGTCTGTCTGTCTGACTGTCTGTCTATATTTGTTCATAAGTATAAGCAGAATATGAAAAGTAAGGATATATTTGAAGCCAGGGTTGGATAAAGAAAATACAAGGAGGATGAATAGCAGTATTTTACAACTTAAAAGGTTTGACAAACTCTTAAGAATGAAATTAAATAGGATAAAATGGCAGTAAATTAAGATAGAAATAATGTTGGAACATCTGGAAACCCACTAATGATGTGCATGCATGTATGTGTCTGATGACTTTAGGTGTAAATTAATCTGTAACCTTCCACTTATTAATGGCCTTGAAGAAAAAAATGACTCTACAAGTTATTAGGAAAAGTATTGTATGAATTTACCTTGGTACTATGAAACTCTGGGACACTGTTGCTTAGGAGCCTGATTCAGCTGTAAATGTAAAATACTCAATCTACAGTTTAGTATGAGACTTAAATATGTACTACAGGTCCGACTATGATGTTTTATTATTGTGTATTATATGTATTATTATTATATAGTATGTAGTATACTATGTTATATCACACACTGCTAAAAGGAAGTGTCATAAGGATTAACCCTGGTAATGAGAAAGCTAAAGGCTTTCATCAAGTATTAAATTATTTTCCTGAGTACTTTGAGATGGCTGGATAAGATAATTGGCACCAAAGAAACTTAGACACAGAAAGAAGTAGATTGCCTAGAAGGGATGAAGTCAAGCGCATCTGTGCTCAAGCAGCACAAACTTGCACACTATCTTTGGGCCTAACCTCTTCATTTTCATAGGCTTAAATTGAATGAAAAGCCCATGGCCACTCAGTAATCTCAACTGAAACCCTCTTTTGATGTCAGAGGTACCAGAGAATATAAATAGGGTTTACTTTCAGTTCTCTGTAAGTAAAAACGCATTGTGAGCAAGCTTCAGTCAGAACAGGCACTTAAGTCCTGATCTTTATAATTGTTCTCTGTCTTGCATCAGGACAATTACTCACTTTCTAGAAGTATAGTGAGGATCATATTTAAAAGTCATGATACAGTATTCATATTTACTTCCTAATCAAATGTGCATCATATTAATCTAGACTTTTATGTTTCCTTCACTCTTACTAATTGACAATTTCTTTGATGACAGCAAAGCTCTCTTTTTATACTGTTGCCAAATATTTGACATAAACACTTTATTTTTGGTGAATGAATAGTTATTATCAAGTATATAAATCACAGTGTGGCAGACTCATATTTCTTCTTCAGTTTATCATGAAAGACAGATTTTTAGCATCTTTCCAGCCAATTTATATCTGTCATTGACTAACACACAGTAAGGTGGAATAGACAGTTAGCCTTTATGCATTAACTCTGTGTTATCAACTCATTCTGCCCAATAAGATTCGGCTGGGATGCCTCCAGTGGCCAGCAGCTCAGCCCCATATCCCTATTTCCCAAAGAATGCTCTAATTTCTATCACTTGTAGGATCTGTGTGACTCTTCCCTATGGTGGAAATCCAGAGAATTTGTATGTAGATATTTACATTGCCTGTGTGTTATCTGTCTGCTTTTTCTTAATTCATTTCATGTTTGAAAGCTAGGGGCTGTCTTTAAAAAAAATACAGAGAAAAATGTTCTTTTCCAGGTCTGAGAATGAATAAAGGAGCCATCACCCCTCCCCGAAGTTCCCCAGCAAATACATGTTCCCCAGAAGTTATCCACCTGAAGGACATTGTCTGCTACCTGTCTCTCCTGGAAAGAGGAAGGCCGGAAGATAAGCTGGAGTGTATGCATTTGTTTATTTAATTTACTGAGCTCCGCTGGGGGTTGATATAGAGGGGTGCATATTGACACACGTAAGTAACACTCACTGCAAGTGTCCAAAACGTATGCTTTAGTCAGTGACTTTGTTTAACTAGAACAATTCCACCTTCTGAGGCAGACAAAGGATGTTGAAATCTATCAACTTTACATTATTGCCAAGTTCAATTGACTATGATTATATTTAAGCCAATTTTTTATTATAAGATTTTTCTTAACGCCACAGGGATTTTTTAAAGTTAGAAATATACAGATGCTATTGACAATTATCCATTGAATTATTTTGTGAAAATATTTGTTTGTGAGGAGAGGCCTTCCCACTACTAACCAAGGAAGTTCCTTGTCCTCATACAGACTGTAACCTTCTCCTAAGGTGAAGTCCCTTCTCCCCAGGAAGCACCAATCTGGCAGAGATTCTTTCTCTAAGGCCAAAGTTGAGAGTTCTCAGCACACACACGCACACACACACACACACACACACACACACACACACACACACACACATAATTAAAAGTTCTGAATATTATTTAAGAAATTAAACAATACCTTTATTTTTTCTATGGTGAGAAAGAGCATTTTAGTTGAAAGTACTGACTTGTTCTCTATTATTAAGTATGGAGACTGAGCACTCTCTGGTGGCAATCCATACACACTACAATTCAAGACAATATTTTTCATTTATTCTAAATCTGATAATTTGATAATCCGTTCTCTCCTCTAAGCTCTTGGTTAGTGCTGATAGTTTCTTCAATAATCAGATTAATCTGATCATATTAGAATTTAAATGCTTTTGCTACTAAAATGATAGTGAATATAATGAATTCAAACTTTAATAATTCTAAAGCAAATGTAAAACTTTAATATTTCAGAATTAAGATTAAGACCCTTTTTTAGGGGGCTTGGGAAGGTGGCTCAGTGGTAGGGTGCTTGCCTTGAATGCATGAGGCCCTGGGGTCGATTCCTCAGCACCACATAAGCAGAAAAAGCCAGAAGTGGTGCTGTGGCTCAAGTGGTAGAGTGCTGAAGATCAGAGAGACAACACCCAGGCCTAGAGTTCAGGCCTCATGACCAATAAAAAAAGAAGAAAAAAGACTTTTTTAGTTGCACTTCATAGTAACTTTTTGAGATATTTTTCTGACCAATAAGGAATTTACCATAATATGATCATGTCAGTCACACCTGCTTAGGTTATGAATAAATCATATAGATATCATTCTTTAAATATATTTATTATTCATAAATTTTGAATATTTGCATTTCAAGATTTATTTTGTATTCCTAAGAACTGCAGAAATCTCTCTCCTTCCAAAATAAATATTAATATTCAATGAATTTATACTGATGTATGGGCCAGAAGGAAAGTTTGCTCAGGTGTTATCTGGACCATATTTGGGAGATTACAAAGATATAAAGCTGAATACTTTTTTCCCAGATCTGAGAATTAACAAAGTCATCATAAACCTTTCCCCAATTGGCCTTTGCTGTTGCAATTTAATTACTTATAGGATAATAAGTATTATGTTGCTCTTTAGGTGAAATTCCTAAGAACTAGAATTTTTGGCTTTCTGTTTGAATTCTTAACCAGCCTGGTCTTTGTGCATGATTTCAGGAAGAATAGTAACTCACATTCCAAAATCACTTGAGGAATCAAGTCAAATGGCCCTGCAAGGTGCCCTTCTGTACCCCGCCTTTATTCATTGAGTTTTCCATCTATTTTTCTGCTGTCATCAGATACATCTTTAGTTAAACCATGCCTCCAGATTTGAATATCCTGTTATTATTATTGTTTCAGTTTTCATCAGACTCCTTAAAGTAGGTGATACTCTAATTTTAATCTCTGCTGTCCTGAGATGGTGTTCAGTACTCTAGCTACAGTATCAAAATCATCAGAACTATGGTCTTTTTTAATGCCTATGCCTTATTCTTTACCACATTTATAAATAAGAATCTTTTTTTCCTTCTATCACTTTCTTAGCAATTTACCGTATTTACCTTTCTACAAATTCACATTTACTAATTCTTAACATTCGCATATTCTTACTCATGTATTCTACCTTAAAGATTTTCTTTCTCTTTTCTCCCTTCTCTCTTTCCCTCTTTCTTTCCTCTCTCCCTCTCTCCTACCCTTCCACCCTCCACCCTCCTTGCCTCCCTCCCTCCCCACCCTCTCTTTCTTTTTTTTGTGTGTGTGTATGTGTGATACTGGGATTTGAACATAGAACCACAAACTTGCTATGCTAGCATTCTTACCAGTTGAAGTAGGCCTACATGTCTACTTTTTATACAATTTTATTTTAAGCCGTTGTACAGAGGAGTTTCAATTCAACAAGTCAGATTGTGAATCGTTTTTAAAAACAATGCTCTCTAAGATTCTTAGAACAGTGCTTAGTTTAATACATACTAACTTTCATAAGATTATTACTTATTAAACACAATGAAAGTGAGAATGATAAAAGAAGAAACAGCAATTACTATGCACAAAAATAGGGGTAATAATGCATTTAAAACATTTAACTTGTTCAGGCAATGATCAGTGAACTTGGATCTCTCTTTCAGGGAGCTAAGCAGAAAGGAACAAATATCCATTAGTTTAAATCATAGTTTCCTAGACTTCATAGTTTATCAGGGTCTCCAGGAGGGCTGAAAGCCCACAGTGTGCTACAGGCCTTACCTTGGGCCTGTGTCATTCTGCAGTCTGAAGCATGGCCTGAGGATTTGCATTCCTAACAGGTTGCACGCCACACTGTTCCCTATTTATTCAGGGGCCATATTAAAGGATTCATTGGCTTAGCAAAATTTCTTGTGTCTAGTGAATCCCACCATGTACCCACATATACACAACTCATCTGAAATGATTTCTTTTCTTGGAACTGATAAATAGTAGCAGTATTTATGAGATTCTTTTACCTGAAGTGTTAGGTAAAATAATAAACACATTGTTAATATTCATGAAAGAAACATCTTTTCTAGCAAAATAATACTTTATAAATCTATGTATACCTTCTGACATTTCCTGTTTTTCAACTTAGCCTCTTCAGCTAGGTATTTACACAAGGTTTAGTATAAAGTTCATCTCCTTGAACAAAAAAATAAATTAACCATCCTGAATTCACCTATGAGACATTTCTTCAATTTGCTTCCCTTGACCTAATCTGTCATCTTTGTCTTTCTTGAGGATCTTAGGTAGAGAAGTATATGTTTTTACACACCCCATGTGTGCTGGGGTTGTGAAGGATTCCATTTTTTTCTCTCCTGTTGACATCGATTATCAGGCATCTCCATGAGTAGATGACAACATGATAGAGCGATTTGCTCTCCAAATGTTAGGCCCACTGCTGTACTTTTTGGAGTGTTATTAAGGATTTATTGTAATGTCCTTTCAAGTCCCACATTACTTTTGTCTTGAAAAGTTGTCATTTATGGTTTTTATTATTGTATCTCCTCTGAGGGAAGAAAAGAGAAAGCATTCCTTCATTTTACAATGGATATAGAAAACAAAAAGCAAGCAACTTCTCCAATTCTGCCTTTAGAATTTGTTATGTAAGATTTGAAATATGTGTAATACTAAAGCACACACAAATGGGCACAAGAAATTTCCATTTAAATTCCTCTAAACGATATGCTTCTTTGTGTGTAACAGCAAATTCTATACTAGTATGTTCCTATTGATAATGTTATAGAAAATATAAATGCAATACTGTATACCTGACAAGATATTCAATGATAAAGCTAAAAAAGTAGAAAGACAGGAAGTTTTCAAATCTTTTGGAAGGAAAAAAATAAGTATAGAAATACTTCCCTTATCTTGCATAATTTGCTTTGATTCTGACCTTTTAACTAAGTACATGTGTGGGCACATAATTGTTCTATATAAAGTCAAATTACATGAGCATAAAAAAGAAAAAAATGTGAGTTAAGCTAGCTTGTAACTTTGTAGCAGTTACCCACATTTGGAAGCCATGAAGTTGATAAATACTTTTCATACTGAGATTATTTTATTTTGGCACCTAAACATTTATTAACTTCTATTAATTTCAAAAATAACACCGACTTGTTCAATGGTTCACTTGAACTTGGGCCTGCCTTTACTTTTAATTTTGAGAAGAAAGTCTTAACACATTTGAAAATTTATTGTTTGATTTCATCAATATTATTTATTATTTTAACTTTACTTTTAATTTTGTTTCTTGGTGTACATTACATTGTATATAGAAATTGGGTTTTATGAACTTTACAACTTTGGTGCAGGGTGGGGGGCGGGGGAGGCGGGGAGGATTGGGGGGGGAGGATGGGAAGGGATGGGAAGGGGAAACAAAGGAGGAGGCTACAATACTTGATAAGAAATGTACTCATTATCTTGCCCATGTAATTGTAACCCCTCTCTACAGTATTTTCACAATTAAAAAAAAAGAAATTGGGTTTTATCATGACATTACCAATAATATGCATATCAAAATTACTTATAAATGTAATTACAGAGGGAACATATTTATAGGTTTGTAGACCAAACACATCATTTTCCATAGAGTTAAGTATTGAATTATTATTTTTCCATTATGTGATTAGTTTTCTTTAATCCTATAACTATTCAAATCTCAGTTTTTTCACGATAAATTTTGACTTGGATACTTGTTCTTTTCATATACTTTTTGATCTTCTCACTGAAAAGTATCCTCACTCTACCTTTCAGTATTATATGGACATTGAATATCAAAACTGATTTATTTCCTTCATTTCCCTCCTCCCATCCCTTTTCTCTCTTCTCCTCCCCTCCCCTCCCTTTCCTTTCCTTCCTTCCCTTCCCTCTCCCTTCCCCTTCCTCTCCCTTCTCCTTCCCCCTCCTTCCCTTATATCCCTTCCTTCTTTCCTCCCTTCCTTCTTTCCTTCCTTCCTTCCTTCCTTCCATTTCTCTTTCTCTACCTTCTTTTCATTTTTTTTGTAAGCTTCAACCCTCCAGGGTATTTTACATCTATGATGATTTTTTTCCTATTTTAAAAATTATTTTTTATACTTCATGGCTCAGAGCAATAACCTTATCTGCTCTTCTACTTATTTCCTATTTTTAATCTTTCTTTTAATTGACAAGAACTCCCTGGCTCTTCCATCTACTTAGGGAGAGCACAGGGCTTTTACACCTGATCTATATGAGACGATTTCACATGTATACCAGTTCCTATTGTAAAAACCTTTTCTGAGTAGAATATGAATTCTTGCTCCTTACAAAGTTATGACTTTTCACCCTTTTGTTACCTAGAAAATGTCACAATGATTAGTATCCACATTCTGCATTCTATTATTACTGATTGAAGATGTGAGAAGGAATGAACCCCATGATTTGTAAAAAAAAAAAAAAGGAAGAAAGAAAGAAAGAAGGAAAGAAAAAATATTTAAGGTCTTTCAATTTATCTAACATTTTTCCTTTATTTCAAAAGATACACATTTCCCACTTACCATTTTACATCTTCAGGATATCATTGTGTTTTTAAAAAATAACACCCTATAGCAATAATTAAGTTGGCAACATTTAAAAATTTGTTTTAAATTTAAAAATTGAAGACCAAATTTTGTGTCTTATAAATAATAATGTCAGAATTAGTGAAATATAAACATCGAGTACAAGGATAACAATTGTACCATTCACTACAACTATGTGATCAAGTTGAGTCTATAATTTTGCCACATAGTTATGAATATGTGCTACCATACTAGACCTCAAGATCCTGCAGGAACTTATACAAACCCCCAAATGCTCCATCATATCCACACCTTCATTTTTTTTATAGCCAGGTTCTGTTTATCTGAAGAGTGCACCTGCAACATTTTCCACAGCTATGAACGGGTCTGTGAATTATACAGAGAAATTCTTGAGCTGGTTACTGGTCCTTTCTTCCATGAGCTGCTACATACAAAGCTCCCAATCTCTATTGCATTATATGATTGGTTATATCATTCCCCTAAGATCTGAGCAGACAGTTATAACCACGTAAACAATATATTTTGTGTTGGCATCAGCCATCAGCGAGAATCCATTACATCACATTCCATTTTATTCTCCCCCAGTGTTTGGGTATTCATACTAACAAAGGCATTTCTGTGGCTTCTGGTATGTGCTGTATGCTGGCTATAGAAAATGGAAATCCCATGCATGGTGATACTCTCATTTTATATGTTAAAAAATGTTTGACAATGATATAGTAATAGTAGATGATGGATTTCAAATTCCAATCAATAAAACTCTATATCATCTCCATTTTGCACTAGTAACTAAGCCATATTGTTTTAACTACTGTTGTCATATTTGAGTTTATAGGTCCATAATCTAATAATAAATAAGCCAAGTTTGACAGACTTTATTTCTGATATCCAGTATTTTTGTAAACTGAGTAATTCAGATTAACATGAATTGAGATATGATCTTACAGAATAACAACTGCTTTGAACAAGGGCTATTTTAGTGTTTGTTTTCAGTAGAAATTAAATTTTAAAGCATGTGTCATAAGCTAACATTGGCCTGGTTCATTTGTAATCTGTTTCTTTCAACGCCTCTTTTATCCTAGTTATGTTTCGTCTTTATGACTCCGATGGGAACGGCTTCCTGGACAGCTCGGTAATTTTTTTTTCCTTCAAATATTCTGTGAAAATTTCAAAGTCATTTCTTCAGAGAAAGGCAATGAATAAATTTAAAGCTATTACCACAGAAAGCACACTTAATATAATTTGCATCCACTCCCATGGCATTTTTATCATTTGACTTTGTGAAAAACAGTAGTCTGAGAAGATAGAATTGTGATCGTTCTATTGAATGGTTTTACTACAAAAATATGAGGTTTTTATTTTTATCTTCACTAAGATTTTAAAAAAGGACTTGAGTGTTGCCTGAATAAAGCAAAAAAAAAAAACAAACTTGAAACTATTTATCTAGAAAGATAAATAGTGGGATTTGGTACTAAGGAAAATAGGGAGAAATACAAGTAAGATTCAAAGAATTTATTATTTTAATTCGCTATTTGTCTCTTTTTAAAAAGTAGATTTAGCTGGTAACCAGTGTTTCATGAGTAACCAATACAAATTACTCAAAAAGCTGAGATCTGAGGAGTCTGGTTCCAAACTAGCCCAGCAGTTAAGTTCAAGCCCCAGGATTTGCATACAAAAGAATATCTATAGTCCCACGTATACTGTTCAAATACATAAATAAATAAATAAATATATATATATTTGTATTGATCTGACAAACTTCTCTTTTCAAAATATCCTATTTTATGTGCCAATTTATATGCTGATTGTACCATTTAAATTTTTATGGAAGTATGATTAACTTAAAGACATAATTACATATTTATTTTATTTGCAATATATGGAAATCATTGATACCTTTCAGGTAATTCAAAATACTCAGTTCAGTATCTCAAATGTTGGTCTATGTCAGGATTTAACCAATAATCGACTTTATATTTGCTGATAATGTATTTTGGGTATTATATTGTTTCCTAGTCTCTCAAAGGAAATAACAAGAACAAAAAAAACCCTCAAGAGTCTAAAATGTTTCAAGTGGGAAAGTTCACTTAGTTGTGGAGATTGGAGGGAAGGGATGGTAGGGGGAAAACAAAGAAGGAGGAAACAATGTTTGATAAGAAATGTACTCATTACCTTGTTCATGTGATTGTAACCCCTCTGTACAGTATTTTCAAAATAAAAAAACTTACTAAAGTAGGTTTTCGAACTTTAGTATGGTATTCTGTATGGTATTTTCATTTGTTTTTTGTCGGTCATGGGGCTTGAACTCTGGGCTTGGGTGCTGTCCTTGCACTCTTCAGCTCAAGGCGAGCGCTCTACCTCTAGAGCCAGAGCGCCACTTCCTGATTGGTATTTTCAAATTTAAAAAAAAAGGAAGGAAGGAAGGAAGGAAGGAAGGAAGGAAAACTTATTAAAAATAAAATGCTTAATATATTTAATAATGCCCAAAGTAAACACTATTTTTGATCATGTCAATTACCATGCAGTTTATCTGGTCTCTGATAGATTTTTATAAGCAAAGCAATGAATTTGGAGACATATTTTCTTAATATGGAGTAGGATAGTGGTATATCACCTTCTCCAGGGAGAATTTCTGGTCCAGGAAGGGACTACCACTCTCAATTGATGCAGTAGTTGTGGCATTTCTTGTGTTTAAATCTCAGTAATACTTTACATTTTATTTTAATTGCCTATTAATAATTGGTTTTATATTTAGAAGTATAATAGTTCATAATAAATTTGCTCATTTTCTGGTGCCATTTCCCAGTTGCAAATTTAAATTTCTTGTAGGTATTTCAATATATTTATTGGCACACATAACTATACAAATGCAAATCACATTTTAAACATTTTGTTTAATGTTTCTTTTTAATTAAATTAAAATGATTCTTCTCTACTAGGCTGTTAGCCATGTGTTGACAGCTGATTTGAAAATTCAATTTAAATGTTTTCATTGGTCTCTGACCATTTGGGGGGAACATATATACTACCAGCAGTATTTGTGATTATCTTCCCAATATTGATGATTGATGAGAATAAATGGACTAAATTTAATCTAGGTAAAGGACTGAATTTAATTTCTAGGATCTTTTCCACACAATATACTGCCTTTAATCCATCAATATCTTCAATAACATCTTTTGAAGTCATATGTCTTGACATATGAAAGATGCTGCAGTTAACCTTTGGGAGGAAAAACAAATAAAATTGATAGTTTGGAAAGTGATATCTATGTCTCATAATTGATGTCAGTATAACTTGTGGAGGAGATGGGGAAAAACCAGTTGTTTAAGGATACAGGTGGACCTGTTGCAACAATGAGAAGTACAAGTTGTCATGTCAAAAACAAGCTTTACAAAGGGGGGAAGGAGAAGAATTGGGATTGGGGGGGAGGGGGGAGCCGGGAAGGGATGTGAAGGGTAAACAAAGAAGGAGGCTGCAATGCTTGGTAAGAAATGTACGCATTATCCTGCCCATGTAATTGTAACTCCTCTGTACAGTATGTTCACAAATAAAATAAAATAAAATTAAAAAAAATAAAAAAATTAAAATTAAAAAATTAGAAAAAAAAGAGTTAATAAGCCTGGTGTTGGTGGCTTATGCCTGTAATTCTAGCTACTATGGAGGCTGAGATCTGAGGATCTCAGGTATCTCTGAGGTATCAAGCCAGCCCAGGCAGGAAAATCCATGAGTCTCTTATGACTAGTTAACCAGCAGAAAACCAAAAGTGGCACTGTGGCTCAAAGTGGTAAAGTGCTAGCCTTGAGTGAAAAAGCTCAAACCCCATCACCAAAACAACAACAACAACAAAAGTTATTGACCTTTTGTTATCAGTTCTTAAGAAAAAAATATTTCATATGAAAATAATGAGCCTTTTCAGAAACTTTGAACTAGTAAGTTTAGAATATCCAATTTACTGATGAGTAACTGGAATATGAGAGGTTATTGTATAATAATTCATGAAAATTAAATATTCTTAAAAATATATCCAAGAATTTTTAGCTCTTCCTGAACCAGTAAGTTGTATACAAATTACATAGAATAGATAGAAATTAGTAACACAGGATTTTGTAAATTGTAACCAGTTTTTAATAAATTCATTATATTTGTGCTTTCTGGGCAAACTGACTTACAAAAATAAAAATGTTTATAATTACAATTTTTTTTCTGGATAGAAGGACCATAACTTAAACTTGTCACCCAGATAGACTCTTGTCTCCCCAAATGACAACCTCTTTTACTATATTTTACTCTGTTTAATCAGTATCAACCACATACATTAGTTTAGAGATTTGAAAAGGATGATCTATAACTAATATATTTTCAAGCTTTATTCTTTTACACTTCTTGCATTTTGGTTATACTATCAGATGCTACCTTTTGTTTATATTGATTTTGGTTATATTAATTTTAATTAAAATTAAAAATCATATTTGAGCTGGGCACTGGTGGTTTGTGCCTGTAATCCTAGTTACTCAGGAGGCTGATATCTGGGAATCATGGTTGGAAGCCAGCCCAAGCAGGAAAGTATATGAGATTCTTATCTCCAATTAACCAGCAAAAGCTAGAAGTGGAGCTATTTTTCAAATGGTACAGCACTAGCCTTGGTCATAAAAGCTCAGGGATAAAATTTATGACCGAGTTTAAGCCCCAGAACTGGATTTTAAAAAGCAGTTTACAAATTATACTTAAAATTACAAACTTCTTAAAAAGTTTTAATCTTTTCTGGAACTAGAGAAACATGAAAACATTAAATATATATAAATATTTTAATTTATTTAGCCAATTATGTACTTATCAGTTATATATTGTCTGACAGTTCTTCAAAGCATTATTAATGGAGAAGAGAAGTATGAAAATCTAAAGTAAAATTCAATTGTCTTACAAAAAAAAATACACTTAGCCTCCAAACCTTGACCCTGAAGTGGTAAATTGTCTCAGTAAATGACTAGATAGATGCCCAATACATAATATCACTAGAACAAAATAAAAATACATACAAGTCCCTCAGTTGCCCGCGTAGGGTTTCTTCTACCTCCCACATCTGTTTTCTAGCCACAAGGTCAGGATGTTCCTGGACTTAAAAAAATCACATCCTATGAACATATACAGGTATTAAGCGTATGTCTCCAAGGAAGGAAACCATTCTCAGCAGTGTGCTGCCCTCTCCTGCTACAGTTTTCTCAATCACCAGACACAGTTATATTAAAGCTATACTTTCTTGTGTAGTTTATAAGCTATCTACGTAGGATTATATATGTTTATGATAATATAAAATTGATACAAAGCTCAATCTTTTGGGCTACTTTTTGAAAAACAAGAACAGATGAATTTGATCTTATGCATCTTCCTCCTTTTCTCTTTCTTCTTTCTTTCCCCCTTCCTCTCTTCCTCCATTCTCCTCTTCCCCTCCCCCTTTTCCCCTTTCTCTTTTCTCCTCTCCAGGAGCTAGAAAATATCATTGGTCAGATGATGCATGTGGCAGAGTACCTGGAATGGGATGTGACAGAACTTAATCCAGTAGGTATATGAATGATTTGACTGTTGATTAATTTCTAACACTCTTTTCATTTTTTAAACTTTTTGGGAACCTTAATTATTTACCATCAGTTTTTTGTTTTTGTTTCTGTTTTGTTTTTGTCATTTGACATCTCTAAGTTACTAATCAGAAGTCAAAATGGAAACTGCATGAGGTACTTGGGCATATGTGATGCTCCCTTTCTTCCTCACTGAAAGTATTCTGAATAAAGGTCAGCAGGAGCAGCTGGAAGATATAGCCAAGGTTATTTGCGCCATAAGAGAAGTGACAGTTGATTTCAGAGTCTCAGATACATAGTTTTTGTCATTTCTTAGACGAATCAGTAGAGATCCACATATGTTGCAATTGCTTGTCCAAACCTTTTCAAGTAGTTAAAGATACAAACATGAATTTTCAACCAACTGTTTAAAGAAACAGTACCTAACAACCCGTGTGAAGACAGATGCATATAATACAACTGCATGGAAGGAAGGCAGGAAGATCATGAGCTTGAAGTGAGTCTCTGGGTTATATAGCAACAAGAATGTGTGTGTGTGTGTGTGTGTGTGTGTGTGTGTATGCATGTGTGAGCATGCATGCTGATACTAGGGCTTTGAACTCAAGTCCTAAGCACTGTCCCTTAGCTTTTTGGCCCAAGACTGTCACTCTACTACTTGAGCCACAGCTTTACTTTGGCTTTTTGCGGGTTGATTGGTCAGAGTCTCATGGACCTTCTTGTCAAAGCTGGCTTCAAGTCTCAATTCTTAGATCTGACATTCAAGTAGCTAAGGTTACAGGAAGGAATCATCTGTGCCTGACAGTGTCTCCTTTTTCTTTAAGAATGACAACATAATTATCCCAGCACCGTTCTTCTTTCCTCTTCCCCCAAAGCCTTTGTCTTCAACCTTTAGATCCTTCTGTTGCTCTGAAGATGACAAAGGGAACCTCCACAAACACATTGTGTATTCCATTTCTTGTTACCTTTCTCCATTTTGTTCTAGTGCTGTCTTCATTTGTTTTACTTTCCAAATTGATTACACTGGCATAGTATATAAAGGTAGTGGGTCCTCCACTGGAGTTCTCCTGTGTACAATCATGGTGCTGTTATTTGAGAGTGCTTTGCCTTTCCAATAGTCAAGGGCAATGTATGACGCCCAAAGTAACACTCTATAGCACTGTATATGGATGTCATTGAATCATACAACAACCCTTGGCAGTAATTGTAGATATCACCCATAGCACAGGGACAGAAATGAACTCACTTACAAGCACTGTGGGAGAAAAGCTTGGGATATTAACTACAAACCATCTCTAAGAAAAAAAATCTAATCAAATATGATTGGATCATTGAACTTTCTGTATCTATTAAGTTCTGGTAGGCAATTAAAAGCAACTTAATTCCCTCACCCGTTCCTACTTAGCAAAGAATTATTTGAGCTCTTTGCCATGAAGTTAATTTGTTCAGACATTTTCTGGCATATATATGAACCTAAAAAAATAATCTTGAGAAAGTAATTAAAGCCCTCTTTCAACTCTTAATGTTCTTATTTTACTTGTGCTGTTCATTTGAAATATATTAAGAAGTTAAACACTTACTTCTAGAAGTTGATCGGTCTAGGTAGCTAGAAATCATTTTTTCTACTTTAGTTGTTCTATTCATTTTATATATTTTTAATTGTAAAGATACTGCAAAGAGGGGTTACAATTACATGAGTAATTTAATGAGTACAGTTCCTATTGATCATTGTTACCGCCTCCTTTAAAAATCTATTTTTTTTAAGCCACTACTTTTTCTCACTAACAGGACTAATGTACTGAGTTACCAAGAGATGTGTCCTAATTCTCCACTTAGCTAAGAGTCAAAATGGGTTCCAATCAGGTCAGTGTAATGTAGAGGAAGGTGTGAGATTCATGGGATTCATGCTTTTGCACCTTTTCCCTTGTCTGTCCCACAGATCCTCCATGAAATGATGGAAGAAATCGACTACGACCACGATGGCACAGTGTCTCTGGAGGAGTGGATTCAGGGGGGGATGACGACCATCCCACTTCTTGTGCTCCTTGGCCTGGAAAATGTAAGCGTTTTCATGGAGAAGGGCAGCCTGGAGTTCTGTAGAATAACCATTGACTATGACTCAATCTGGTCATTTGCTATCATTAAACAATGTAGTAAGTGCCTGGACTTGTTCATGTGTATGCCAGGATGCGATTTAACAGTAGCTCCTTGAGCAGGAATGGTTACCACAAACATATTGATCCCTTGCAAGTACCACCTTAGGATTAACTATATTTTTCCCTCTCCTTTGTTTTCCTTTATCATCATGTAATCAAGGGTACTTTGTTTGATATGTATTTTCTCATGTAATACAAGGAACTCCCCAAATTACTGTAATTTTTCTAGTGATCCACTGTATTTAATATTTCCCCACTCATGACTACATTCTATTTTATGGGTAACTGAAAGAGGAGGAAATTGCAGATCTAAAAGTTGAGAAGAGATACAAAGATACGAAAGAGAGTACATTTTCTTTATATAGCTCCAGAGCAGCTAAATTCTTATTCTAAGCCTATCAAAATGTTCTTGTATTACTACCTCCAATGACAATTCTATAGGCAATTAAATACTAGTTTTAGAGACAAAAATAGGTCCACATAAGATGAGAATGTGATAAAATTATTATTGTGAATTCAAATATTGGTGACGCTTGAAGTGACATCAATAGTCAATGCTAGGTTTTTATGTTAGCATTAATTGTTGGCGATCAATTAACAATTACCATATGTACATGATAACATGTATAATTAGATTTCAAGAACTTTAGGGATAAAAAATACCATAACCACATACATTTATAAGATACAAGAACACAACATCTTCTACTGTGGATCTAACCCCCAAATTTTTCATGCTTCTCACTAGCAGCAAAGCAACATTTTTGCAAATTCAAGATGATACCACAGTTATTCAATGCACCAAGTTTTTAAAAGAATACTGACAATTCTTCCTACAGTCTGTTAGGGAAATGTGAGTGTAGATAAAAATATGTTTGTACATATGGATGTAGGAAAATACAAATGGACTAAGGGTTTAGGAATAAATAAATGGGCTTCACCAGATTAACAAAGTTTATTTTTAAATCTGTATTTTCTAATTCTATTCTGTCCTCTCTCTGTGTCTATCTCTCTATCTCTCTGTCTCTCTGTGTCTATCTCTCTATCTCTCTGTCTCTGTCTCTCTGCCTCTCTTCCCCCCAACCCATCTCTATTTTCTGATACAAGGGATTAAATTCAGACCCTGTGCTTCCTAGACAAGCGCTATATGACTTTAGCTACACTCTAGTTTTATTGCTAACTTTTCTCTGGATGGTCTGGAATCTAGGTCATCCTACCTGAGTTTCATGAGTAATGGGGATCACAGTGGAATGCTGCCGTATCTGGTCCTCTTACTGTCATTTTGAACCAGGCATGCTGGCAAATAGTAAAGAGGTTGAGTGAAAGTCCAGGAGGATGGTGAGTCCCAAGGCCAATTAGGTCTTCATAGTAAGCACCTATCCTGGAAGAAAGAAGGGTGTGGAGGAAGGGAAGTAGGAGAGAGAGAGGGAGGGAGGAAAGGGAGGAAGGAAGGAAGTAAGGAAGGAAAGAAGGAGGGGAGGAAGGAAGGAAGGAAGGAAGGAAATAAATTTCTTTTTATCTTATGTTTACATACTACACGTAATGTAGCACCCCTTTTTATAAATATATTGTATATATTCATATTAGAATCAATTGCTTAATCAACTGCTTAGTCATTTCCTACTATAAAACATTATGCAATGTAAACTACAAAGAGAGAACAAAAGGAAGATTTACCAAATGGCCACAATGCAAGTTTCATTGTGGAGTCTATCTGAAAAATAGCTACCAGATGACTCCAGTCAGGAAGTGCAAATAATAATGGTTTCCTAGAAGTGTTTTCTATTTTTAAATATAAAATTTTGTTATGATAAGTGTTTGGTGAAATTGTGGTGTAAGACAAGTAGAGAAGAGTCAGAAATATATAGGTAAGATGTTAGGCAGCCTAGATCACAATGGTAAAGCATTTGCCTAGTGTATCTGAGAGTATGAATTCAATCCTCAGCACTGCAAGATTAAAAAGAAAAAGAAAAAGACTTGCAAAGCATGAAAGGGAGTTTTAGAAATCTGTTTTTTTGTTTTGTTTTGTTTTGTTTGTTAGTCATGGGCCTGGGTGCTGTCCCTCAGCTCTTCATTTCAAAGTGAGTGTGCTACCACTGAGCCACAGCACCACTTCCCATTTTCTGGTGATTAGTTGGAGATGAGAGTCTCATGAACTTTTGTGCCTGGGCTGGCTTGAACTGTGATCCTCAGATCTCAGCCTCCTGAGTAGCTAGATTACAGGTGTGAGCCACTGGCACCCTGCAGAAACCTGTGTTTTATATACTACAATGTCTTTTAAAGAATTATTTTAAGGGTTTCATTTCTTCTAGATTTTTGAAATTTTAATTTGTACATGTAGATAATTATATAAACTGCATGGTTTTGGCTAGACCTATGGATCACACCTATAATTTCACCCCTTAAAAATTATGAGGCAAGAGGATTACAAATTTTAGTCAACCTGTCTGATAAAACAAGAACTCAGCATGATTATTTAATACACACACATATATATGTATATAAGTTTATAAAGTAATTTTAAGCCATTCTGATAATTTCAGGTAAAGAAGCAAGTTTAATTGGGTGGTAATTCCCTCAAGTTAATGTGCACTTAATTAACTCTACATAATTTATTGTAAAATTATATTTTTAATAAAAATGTTATAATGTATTTAATCAAGAAAAAACAAAACGTGAGAAATTAACTTAGAGTTTTTTTTATTGTGAACATACTGTACAGAGGGGTTACAATTACATGGGCAAGATAATGAGTACATTTCTTATCAAGCATTGCAGCCTCCTCCTTTGTTTACACTTCCCATCCCTTCCCAGTCTCCCCTCGCAGCCCCACCCAATCCTCACCCCCCCAAAGTTGTAAAGTTCGTTTTCGACATGACAACTTGTACTTCTCATTGTTGCAACAGGTCCACCTGTATCCTTAAACGACTTGTTTTTCCCCTTCTCCTCCACAAATTATACAAACATCAAATATAATGAAAACAGGGGTTATACTGTGGGGGAGGGACATACAAAGCAACAAAGAAATAATCTTATAAATGCGTTAGAAACTAATGCATGAAAGAAAAAAAAACCAGCAATCAGAGCTGCATTCCACAGCAGTATTCCCACTACTGGCCACTAGATGGCAGGGTTACATTGTTTAACATGACAGCAATTCGAAAAGATTGGATGTTTTTTTCTTCTTTAAAAAAAGAATTACAAACTATGTCTGCATATACAAGTTGTGACTGTTCACAACACTCTGACCCACAGATGCTACAAGTCTAAATAGGATTCAAATACGGGGTGGGGTGAGAGGGAGAGGTGTGTATGTCCCTAATAGTTTATTATGGGGAAAAAAATTCAAGCCGGGCGCAGGTGGCTCACGCTGTAATCCTAGCTACTCAGAAGGCTGAGATCTGAGGATCACAGTTCAAAGCCATCCCGGGCAGGAAAAGTACGTGAGACGCTTATCTCCAATAAAACCACACAGAAAAGCTGGAAGTGGTGCTGTGGCTCAAGTGGTAGAGGCTCACCTTGAGCTGAAGAGCTCAGGGACAGTGCCCAGGCCCAGAGTTCAAGCCCCACGAACGAAAAAAAAAAAACAAAAACAAACAACAAAAAAAGTGCTTGTGCTATAGTTTTTTTTAATATAATAATACCAATGTCAAAATCACGTAATAGTTAATAAAAACCCTAAAGCATCAATAAAGGTATTATTTTTAAAAATATGAAGAAATGTCCCCATTCTTTCACATTTAAAAAATAATAAAGAATAAAACAACAATATTTTAAAATGTCTCTTAATAAAATGCATAATCCCTGTATTCAGATGTAATGATCATAAAACCAACAATGTTAGAAATATAAATCTAAGGAATAGTATTTTTTTCTTTCTTTCTTTTTTTTTGGTCATGGGGCTTAAACCTTAGGCTTGGGCCTGTCCCTGGGCTCTTCAGCTCAAGGCTAGTACTCTACCACTTGAGCCACAGCACCACTTCCAGCTTTTTGTGTTTATGTGGTACTGAGGAATTGAACCCAGGGCCTCATGTATGCAGGGCAAGCACTATACCGCTGAGCCACCTTCCCAGCCCCATATGGCATGGTATTTTTAAAAGAGAAATGGCACCGACACAATTGAGTGCTGAGAAACTTTTTTAAGGAACTGAGATTCATTTCCTTATGGTAGGCACTTAAAGTGTTACGTTTATTACCTGTGGAGAATCTGATCCATGATCCCATTTCCTTCACCCTTTCCACATTGTTTGCATATTAAATTGGAGCGCTAGAAGTTTCACCTTGAATTTGGTCACTTAATGTGAAGCCTGCCTTGTGATGTTGTCCTATATTCTTGTCTGTTGTCAATCATGAGCTTTGGGAATAGATTCTAATTTGGTAGTGCATGCTCAATACCACAGTGTATTTGAGAGTGACTGCTTTGAGCTGGCCAAATTACACAGTGAAGAATGGAGTCCTGAGAGAGGCAGGCTCTCTACTAACAGAAGGCAGAATGTGATGATTTCATTGCAGGTTTTTTTGTCCTCATCAACAGAATTTTAAAAGCTACTCTATACAAAATATCTGTTTTGTACTAAAGTCAACAGATGCAATTTATCAGAATCTGATGCTATACCAAATTACTAGAGAGTAAGAGTTGTTCCTCTTCCCAGAGTTTCTGCAAACTTCACAAAATCCAAGATAAACTGAGACGGATAAAGTTTTATGGTCTTTGAGGGAAAATGGAGAGTTTAATTGACTTTATATGTTTAATTACCCAAACAGAAACTTTGTATCTTAGACTTACTATTTCTAAATCTTTTGTCCAATTGGAGAATTTTTAATTCTATTGAATGATGATGGTTTTCATTGTTAATAATCGCATCTTCTTTAGTGGTTATTAAGGAGCAGATTAAATAACTTTGGCTTTGGTGATGTACGATGTTATAGTACTATAGCAAATATGAATATGGTATGTGTCATGTAGCGAAGTTATGCCCAATAAAACTTTATTTACAGAAACAGGTTGCTGAGCAGAATTGCCCTATTGCCACAGTTTGCCATCCATCGATCTAGTCTATCACCAGCCAGGAAATATGGCAGTCAGAAAAGTTTAATTTAGTTTTTAATCATTAAGTAGAGACAATGGGTTTCAAATTCATATCCACAGTGCTTCTTTCATTAACTTAGCAAGGGGATTTTTGCACTTTGCATTTTTACTAGGAACAGGGACAGCAGCTTTGACAAAACCATATTCTTCCTTTCCTAAAAATTTTAAGTTCAAACTATCATTTCCCCTTGAGTCCTCATCAAAGTTTTTGAAGATAATTTCTGATATTCTCCTAAAACAAGGAATACTTGTTGAAGCAGTAGTCTTGTTTGAAATAAGGAAGCTTCATGTCTTGGTGGTAGGTTGTATATCTAGGCTCTATGGTTTTTAGTTGAAAATATTTATCTTGCTACCTGTATTCCATGAGAACCCATATTCAATGGATATAATGTAAATGTCATCTTTGATTAGCGGGGTTATGTTCCTTTTATCCCCCTGAATAATTCAGAAAAAACCTGTAATGTGTTCTCCGATAAGCTATCTGAATGGCCGAGAATAGAAGGTGACATCGTTTAAAACTAAATTAAACTTAGAAAAGTGATAATATTTAGCATTCCAGTGTTTTACATTTTGTTTTTGCTAAATGTTATCTTTTTCCTGCTGTATATCTGTCTCAATCTAGAAAGAAGTTGCAAAACTGGACAAATGGGACAAATTTTGAGATTCCAGTTTAAGTCTCCACCTTTCAAAGAAAATGACTATGTGGTATTACTGTCTGGAGAATTTGCTTTTGAGTTTTAGGCATGATAGGGTCCCAGGATGCCCTCAAAGAGTATGGTCTAAAACGTAACAATTGATTATCATGGCACCCAGAAGTTTTATACTAAAACCTTATATAAGTTATGGTTTTGTTTCTCTCATAATGAGCTAACTTTGGGGAAATTTTTACATTTTAAAACTTTAAGCCTTTTGAGTCTTCTTCCTTATTTAATGAATTGGAAGGAATTTGCAAGCTTAGCTTTTCAGTATCCTTGGTTGGGTCGGTCAAAACACAACTGGCTGTGCGGGAAAAGGGTATTTGTGCTGGGCCATCAGTAAAATTTCTCCTTGAGGTCCTTCGTGGTGTGTGTGTGTGTGTGTGTGTGTGTGTGTGTGTGTCTGTGTGTCTGTGTGTCTGTGTGTATGTGGGTAGACCTAGTGGACTTGCAAACCACCTTTTTTTTTTTCTTGGACGTATTTAAGGTAAGCCTAAAACTTCAGAATTTTCTATAATAATGAGGTTTTCAAAAAGTTCCACAGGGCATTTATCCCTTTGGAGCATCTTTTTGGTTTCTGGGAAGATGAGCATTGAGGCAGGACACGAAGCTCCATCTCATTCTAGGATTAGCCTAGAATTCACCAAACATTTCTCTCTGGTATAGCATGCAACTGAGTAGCTTCATTGTAACATGAAGTAGTATTACTTCTGGTAATAAAAAGAAAAAAACAACATTTTTTTCTTAATGAAATGAAGTCTAGTGAAACTATGGATCGTCTTCTCAATTCTTGTGGCTCCAACACTGGGAATGTTACACAACTCAACCCAATGATGGTAATAATATTTGCTGTTTATATAACACCACTCTTCAAGGAGCTAAATTAAATTCACAGGTATTGTATAATGAAATCTCACACCACGGCCTGGAAAAGGAAAGTGGATAGTTTCATTTTATTGGAAAAGAAGATAGAAGAAATGGGTAATAGCTTATACACATATATGGAACAGGCCATGAATCAAGCTTTCTGGATTCTCCATTCATTTCTTCCCCTTCCTCCATAAGCATGAATTGCTTTCTTTGCAATGGATACTTATTTTCAATAGGATTACTAATGGGAATACTCTGTACTGACTGATAGAATACAGAAGGAACAGATTCTCCCACTTCCCCACTCAGTTTACAATCTAACTAAGACAAACAAGACAAGACACGAAGCTGCAGCCACTCAGAGGATAATTTTCCCTGCTGAGAACTAGTTGGCTCCTGGTTTCAATTTTTCCTCTCAAAGAAATCACATACATATTTCATCCCTTGCATATTTTGGCCATGCATCCGGCTAAGAGCTATAAAGCTATATAATTTGTTTTCCTTTTTTTTTGGTAAAGCATTTTATGGGTAATGGATTTGTACATCAGTTACAGCCTGTATCATGGCTAAGCGTTCTGATTGACAGAACACCCACGCTCAGACTTGTTTGTTTTTTGATAAGGAAAATGCCAGATAACTTCGTCCATATGGGCTTTCCACCAGGATGAGGCTTATGCACACAGAATGGACAATCACTGAAAAATAAAATGACAAAGATTACAAAACAGCAATATGTACGAAAATTACAATTTTCCCTTTTTCTCTCATTGAAAATATTTTAAGCATGTAATCACTACTTTTGAAGTTTTTTTAGTTTTATTTTTAATTAATAGCCTCAGATTTAAACTCAATAGCCTCCAATTTAAACTTTGTATGAAACAATGATTACTATTTTAAGAGACTAGAAATGAAAAACTTGAACAGGTTGGAAAATTCTGCAAAATTCACCATGGAGTGTCCTGTTTACATGATAGAGTTACTAGAAATGTTACAACTCATTGGAAATTATTACAGAGCCTATTTTTTTTTCCCAAGGTAATTGAAGCAATTACCTTCAGATGCCATTTCCATGACATCTACATCTTCAAATCGCTGCTTTTGTTTGGAGCTTGTTAGTTCCTTGTCAAAAAAGCAGATCTGAGCATGGTGAATTGTGAAAGGTCTGAGATTTATCCTGTTTGCAGCTTCCTGAGTAAGTTTGTCTTCAGCACTTCCCTGGATGGTCCAAAAGTACATCAGATTCCAAGGTCAGAAACAATGGCTTTGTTACAGCAAACCAACCAACAGTGCCTTTCTCCCTAAGTCTCTTGGGCATGGTAGCCTGTGATGAAAACAAATTGCTGTACCCAGCAACAGAGCTGCGAACTCTGGGCCTAGGGAAATGAAATCTCTTGTAATATTATAGTCAAGAAACCTGTTTAACCTTTACTTAGGGGAAGAAACCATCATTGTGAGACAAGGCAAGAGGTCAGCCTCCCCTCTGGAGGGAGACACTTCTCTATTGTTCAAGGCTGTTTATTTTTCAAGAATCTTTAACACATGGCTTGAAAAGAAAATGTGCTCCTACTTGTAAAACATGCAAAACTCAAAAGACTCACGGAAAATGATTCCCCAGGAAGGATTTTCATTAGCATTTCGTATTATGACACAAATCTGACAACTCGGGTTCTAATTCAAGAATTAGCTATTATAGGATATCTTTGGTATTTTAAATCAGGTGGCTTTATCTCCTGACTGAGGAAGCAAGCAACTCTAGATTTGATTGCATTATCCCTGCTCTCCAGAATTAGTGTTAGTTTATCTAGCCCTTAGTTGGTGCTCAAAAATTATTTAGAATATCTTCTGAGACATATGTTAATTGGTCTATCTGAAAAGTCACAAAGTATAACTACTGTTGATTGAATGCCAATGAATGATGGTTGCAATTAAGTTTCCTGAAAGTTGGTAAATGGAAAGCAAAAGAGAGAAAATAAGGCTAACAAATGAGGGCAACACCTTAATGAAGAAAACAAGGTTAACAAAAATAATGATACATTCTAAGTGCATGTTATGTTTGATCTTCTTGTAAGCAGCTCAAAGTTCATTAACTCCATATATTTCTTTTTATCTTTTTTTTTTTTTTGGTCAGTCATGGGGCCTGAACTCTGGGTTTGGGTGCTGTCCCTGAGCTCTTTAGGTCAAGGGTAGTGCTTTACCACTTGAGTCATAGCACCACTTCCAGCTTTTGTCTGCTTCTATGGTGCTGAGGAATCAAACCCAGAGCCTCATGCATGCAAGGGAAGCGCTCTACCACTGAGCCACCTTCCCAGCCCCTTATTCTAATCTAGAACTATACAGATATAAGTAAACATCCACAAGAGAAGTAACTGTTATATAGAACTTAGCGTAGTAAACAACAATTATAGTAGTGCCAATAAAAATTGTGAATGAATTTAAAGTCAAGGTTCTAGTTTGGTAAATCAGTATAGGGATTTTTATAAATATAGTAATATGTTTTCAATCTTTTACCATCTTTCCATGAGAATAAAATTCATATTTTATGAAAGAACAATTATAACAGTGGTAATGCAAATAGACCCTTTATTAAAATTTGTTATTTTTTATATTATACTATTTTAAATGATAACATTAGGAATATGGAAAGGAAGACTTGGAATATCATCATAGTTTACTTAAAAATGTTGTTTTTCACCGTCCAGGCCATTGCTCTAACTTCTTAGGAGACCTAAATCGCCACCATCCTGAATGCTGCATATTTCTATTGCTGAGCAAGTCTCAACAGTCTTGCGCATTTTCATTCCTCAAACTCTTCCACGGGAGTCATTTCTCTGTGTGTCTTTAGGCATTTGTCCACGTAATCCTGCTGAGCATCGAGTGTCGAAATGCAAGGCAGACATGGCCTATTGTGGGTCATTCTGATAGTTTGGGGGAGGTTGTTGGAACCGTTCACATCAGACAAGAATTTGCGGGTTGCTATCGCATCCGAGATTGGTTAGCACTATCTCATTCCAGCAGCACACGCGTGTTTTTCCGAAGACTGGGTGGCGATCTTGGAGCATAAGAGATGAAATAACAGATTGTCTTCGAGTGTTTCAGTCCAGCTCTGAATTTAATTGGCACTTCCATCTTCTACTGTTGATTTCATTAAGTGAAATCTGTTTCCCTTACGTCTCCTGCAGAATGTGAAGGATGACGGACAGCACGTGTGGCGACTCAAGCATTTTAACAAACCTGCCTACTGCAACCTTTGCCTGAACATGCTGATCGGCGTGGGCAAGCAGGGCCTCTGCTGCTCCTGTGAGTGTCCGCACCCCACTGCTCCTCAGAAAAGGCTAATGCCAGGCGTAGGCCTCTCTGGAGACGGAGGTTTCAGAAACCCTCCAGACACTGCCTATTCTGGGATTTCAGTTCCCCAGGAGTTTCAGATTGCTTAGGTTGCTCTAACTTTACCTGTCTTTCCCTAGCTTGGGGAAATGATTCCTTTGACAAAGAAACACCCTTGCTAATTCTTTCACCATTTACTTCCGTCGTTTACTGGAATCGGTAGTAGATTCATGGATTATTTTGAAATGTTCAACTAGTTTCTCATTTGTATCTCATTTAGATTGTTTTATATTCTATGCCACCTCCTTTATTCAGGAGGATTTAACTATCATAAATCAAATACCCCAAATCTTTAATGTTGTGTCAAGTGATCCCAGCTCCAGTGTCCCATACCTACAGCTACTCAGGAGGCTGAGATCAAGGATTGTGGTTCAAAGCCAGACCAAGCAGGAAAGTCCTGAAGACTCTTATCGCCAATAAACTACCACTCCCCCGCCTTTCTCCCCCCTCCCCCCGCAAAAAAAAAAAAAAAAAAAAAAGAACTGGAGCAGTGTGGAGTGTGTGGAGCTGTGTTTCCAGAGACAGAAGCTAAGGGGCAGTGCCCAGGCCCTGAGTTCAAGACTCAGGACTGACACACACACAAACACACACACACACACACACACACACACATCTCAATAGAGTAAAAATGGACTTTCATTTATATCCAGTTACAGATATTGAAATCCAAGGCACTAATGCTTTGTAAGTTGTTTTGATAATTTCAGTTCATGTATTTTTGCAAGTTTTGTTTTATTTTTTAATAATCCAGTTAGGATTTACTAACATAGTATGCAACAGGTAATTTATAAAATCAACTAAGTATTTTTCCACCTGTGATATGTTTAAAAATAATTTATATTCCCAAATGATCTGCTAGAATATATAGAGAATAAGCCATCCCTTATTCACCAAGGCTGTGGGTCTCCACGAACCCAGGAATTACTCCACTCCTTTTCTGCTATGAATGAAGTGATTAATTTGTGAAGTTTTCTTTTGCCTTTGCTGTTTTGTTTTGTTGTTTGTGCCGGTACTGAGAGCCTTGCGCTCTTGCTTGGCTTTTCACTCATGGCTGGCATTCTATCACTTCAGCCACAGTTTCAAGTCATACAATGCCAACCTTAGTATCTAAGTGGAGATAAGAGTATTACCGACTTTTCTTCCTGGGCTGGCTTGAAGTATTGCTCCTGAAATTTCAGCCTCCTGAGTAGCTAGGACTATACTCATGAGCCACTGGTACCCGATGAATATCAAGATTATTAGACATGTCAAATTTTTTATTTAATGAAATCTAATTTTTAAATGTGAGTTCCATATGGCATGTGGTTTTCAGAGTTTCTTTTTCATCTAATACTTTCATTATTAATATGGGGATTTTTCTTTCTCTAATAAGACACCTCCAAGATGTATTTATCTGACAATAAAATAAATATATTTTACTGTGATATACGCAATGTCTTAAGAGTTTAAGGATTTTAATAAAGTAACACAAAATTTGCCACACATCATGTTAGAAACAGGTTGCCCATGGCCATATTCAAAAGGCCAGTAACAATATGACATATTCCATGGATATAGTATTTTTAAAATTCTATGACTTATTTTAAAAGTAAGGAAACATTTTCTGGTAGATTCTGTTGATAAGAGCATGTGAAACAAAATATCTCTCAAATGACTGAATGATATCTTATGTAATTGTTCACAATTTTTATCAACTATTGTAATGAATGAAATAGTCTATACATTATTATTAACATGGAAATATAGAGATACATTTCCCTCCTCAATCTTGCCACAAGGAAAAAGGAAACTCACAGATGTGAAATTTTTAGAGTGTAGATAACATTTTAAATAGTGTAGATACAATATTTTCATTAATAGATCAGGAAGTATCATTTTTATTTAGTGTTAGCTAAATCTTATTATGAGCCAGGTGACAGTGCCTCATACCTGTAATCCTAATCACCTAGAAGGCTGAGATCTGAGAATCACTTTAGAAAGTCAGCCTAAGAAAAAAATGTCTCACAGAATCCATCTCCAATTAACCAGGAAAATTCAGGATGGAGGTGTGTCTCCAGTACCAGTAATGAACAAAACAAGTGAGAGTAGAAGGTCCTGAATTTAAACTGATACTGGATTGTATGTGCATTCATGCACACACAGACACATACAGACACAAACATTAACTTTATGAATACAAAACTCTCAGTTTCGATACTACACTTTATTAAATCAATACCTTTGTGTGACTCCTAATTTTATTGAGATTCTAATGATGAAAAAACATGAAGACACCAAAAAAATGTATGTCTTAATTTTATGGCACAGATTCTGTGTATACACAAACATATATATTTACTTGTACATCTCCATGTTTGTATATAACATTTTGCTTATGCAAGCCATATGTCGCCTTGTAAAGATTGTTGTTTGGGGAAACAATGCCATAATGTAAAATGAAAGATGAACATTTCCTGAAGACCTGGCATGTACAATGGATTCTATTCTCTAGAAACAGAGCAATCAGCCATTTAAGGCTTAGATAAATCAATAGACAAAATATCATAAACTCATATATCCATGTTTACTAGCCACTGCCATGCCTGTACTTTGCAAAATATAGTTCTTTTCTTTCTAGCCATTTGGCACTCATCAATTTGTTTTTAATATTTTTGTCATCTGGGAATTATTGTGAAAAAATCGAGTGAAGACTGATTTAATTAAGCATTTCCTGCTATGCTATGATAGAGGAGTCTTGGTTGTTCACATGCATAATATTTCCTGTCCTAATTGGCTTTTTGTATTCCATGGCAAAAAAAATAAGAAAAAAACAGTCTACTTGGACTTTTCCTTGATGTGGCTGATTGGATTGATTAGGGAGCAGTAGCTATGAAATGAGGTTCTGTTAATGTCATTCTTTCCTTAGAAAATTACAGTCCGGACCAGGATTCTCTCTGAATTTGTGTACCTGTTTCTTTTCAGTCTGTAAATACACAGTCCACGAACGCTGTGTGGCTAGAGCCCCTTCTTCTTGCATCAAGACCTATGTGAAGTCCAAAAAGAACACAGATGTAAGTGTGTGGGCTCTGCTTGCTTTCTGACAGTGTGCATAGAGATGCCTTCTCTTACCACAGTACTGCTGTTCTGTTCCAGGTCATGCACCATTACTGGGTTGAAGGCAACTGCCCGACCAAGTGTGATAAGTGCCACAAAACAGTGAAATGTTACCAGGGGCTGACAGGACTACACTGTGTGTGGTGTCAGATCACAGTGAGTAACGTGTGCAAATGCATTCTCCTCAGCTGCCGTCTGACAGTCCTGATAGCATAGAAACGTTTCCTGGACATTAGCATCAATACTGTTGAGTGACTGAAGCTTCTAACTTCATCTGGCCTTCAAGGATAGATACAGAGGCTCAGATTTGTTGTCATAGATCCAGAAGCACAAAACCGTTGTCAACGGTGATGGCAAAACCACCAGATAGTTGTGACATGGAGCTCAGGACATTCTTAGGGAGGCAATTGAAGGGCTCAGCTCAAAATAGGGAAAAAAATGAAATCTGTATCTTAGGTCCTGATGCTTCTAAATGTGCATCTAACAGTTTATCCCTCTTTGTGGCTACACTGCTCCAACAATTAAATCTGAAATTGAGAAATAAAAGATTTCAGTGTAAATGTTCACTTTTAGGATTATGGACAATGAAGAAAGGAGAAATAAATTAGCTTTTCATAGGAAACGCTAGGACTTCAATAGGTTTTGGTGAATGTAAAATCACAACAAATATTTTTTTTGAAATACACGCAGTAACTAGATATTTCCATAGTTTCTTCTTTAGTTTCTAGAAAATATAGATTTTGTAGCACAGGTATTTTTGATAATGGAGTGCGAAAATTTTAATCAGAATAGAGTTTTGCTACTATGCTTCTTTCTTTCCCTCCTTCCCTTCCTTCCTTCTTTCCTTCTTTTTCCTTCCTTCCTTTCTTTCCTCCCTCTCTCCCCCTCCTTCCATCTCTCTTTCTCTCTCTTTCCTTCTTTCTTTCCTTCCTTCCTTCCTTCCTTCCTTGCTTCCTTGCTTTCTCTCTTTTGTTTTCTATTTCTCCCTTTCTTTCTTTCTTTCCTTCTTTCTTTCTTTTCTTCTTTCTTTCTTTCTTTCCTTCCTTCTTTCTTTTTTGTGTTCTTTCTTCCTTTCTCTCTTTCCCTGCCTCTTTGCCTTTTTTAAACACAAAGTATAGTACTCTTAGTATAGGACTAATATTCTTGCTTTGGTCAGAATAAAACAGCAGGGGGCACTGAATAGTTAAGCAGATTAGTTACTCAGTATTAGTTCAATGTTCCATAATCAATCCACAGGTTAAACAAATTCTTAATATTCACGTGTGTGCGCACATACACACACACATACACACACAATCATAAGGAAAAAAACTGACTTACATTTCAAAAATATAATTAAGTACATTTTGGAAAAATGAACAAACTTTCTTCAATCATATTTAGTTATTATTCATTTAAATTACATTTCCATTTGGAAAATTTTCTCAATTATGAAAAGAGAGCTTTAGTTTCTGAAGTGTTTGATTATTGCAATAAAATGTCTAACAATGATTTAAATTAAACATGGATTACTCAAACATACTGGATTCTCAGTTATAAGAAGACCACAATTTCTTTTTTTAAGAAATATATTAAAATTTGGATTTTTGTTCATTGTTGACAAAATACCATTTCTTTCCAGTTCTTTTATTAAATAAGTTTTTTTATTGTGAAAATACTATACAGGGGGGTTACAGTTACATGAGCAAGGTAATGAGTACATTTCTTATCAAGCATTGTTGCCTCTTCCTTTGTTTTTCCCTACCATCCCTTCCCTCTGATCTCCACAACTACACAATAGAAAGCCCACGATTGGGAGAAGATCTTCACTAGCCATACAATGGACAAGGGTCTCATATCTAAAATATACCTGAAACTCAAAAAATTAAATTCCCCAACAATGAATCCTCAAAGAAACAACTGCCCAATAAATAAGTGGGCTGAAGACTTAAAAGAGAAATTTCTCTGAAGAGGAAAGAAGGATTGCCAATAAACCATGAAGAAATGCTTTCCAGTTCTTGTAGGAAGTATACTTCTTGCTTTTCCAGAGTTCATCTTTCACTAGCTACATCTTAATTTTAACATAGTCTGGGATTTAAAAATACCAGAATTCCTTTCTTCTTTGTTTTTCAAACCATTTTTCTATTTGTATATTTTTTTTAATATACTGATTTGGTACCTGGGTGACACAGAATACATTTACTTCAAAATATTCATGTGTTCAGTTTTCGGAGTATTTTTTCTCTAGTGCTATTGTATTAAATTTTAATATAAAATGATTTGGTCTTGAAAAATGGCTCCCGAGGAACTGAGTCTTATTCTCATGCTGTTCTAAAAGTAATGTTCGTTGATAAAAGGTTACTTGATTGCCATCTTGGTGGCATACAACACAGTCAATGGTGACTTCAGGAGACATTTCTGAATGGATTCCATCAGGAGTTTGATTGTGGAAAGAACAGAAAATGAAGCTTGGTTTGATGTCAAGGTTTTTCCCGACTCTGTACTATTGTTTTGCTTATGATTTTTTCAAGAGAAGCAGTGTGTGTGTGTGTGTGTGAGTATGTGTGTATTCTAGAGTTGTGCTGTCTCTGAGGTTTCTTGCTGGAGTCTAGCACTCTGCTAGATGAGCTACACCTTCATTTCCAGCTTTCTTTGTGGTTAATTGAAGATAAGAACCTCATGAACTTTCCTACCTTGGATTGCTTTGATCTTCAATCTTCAAATCTCAGCCTCTTGAATAACTAGAAGTACAGGTGTGAGCTACTGGCACCTGGGTACAACCAGACTATAAAATCATCTCTACCACTTATTAGTGTAATCATTTTGACCCCTCATATACAGCAATGTTGGCTAATGTTTTACTTTCTAATGTGGAGTTCATGTGACCTATTATAGGATTGTTATAAACAGATTTAAAAAATCTGTGTGGATACATTAAGAAAGGACATCTTATCAGTGTATTCTCAGTAATAACATTCATGTACATGTGTGGTATGTGAGATGCCTTATGGGTGCCCAGCGCCAGCTTGGTGAGTCATCATCCTCTTTCTGTGTTGCCTCTGGAAAGATCTGACCAGTCTAAGTCAGAACAGCATCTGCAGTACTAAGGCATCCAGAATTTTGTGGCCCTGAATGTCATCCAATTGTAAGCCAGTATGGTCAATTTATATTCACAAAGTATAAATACTAAAAGTCTTCTTTATCACACATGGCAAATGTTGCCAGCCATTTACAATCTACAGCTGACTTTTGAAATAGAAGTGAATATCTTTTACTCTTGTCTTGTGCCTTCACATCTCACTTATACCATTGCTTGAGTTATCCTTTCAAAACTTTCTCTCCCAGATCTGGATTTTTGTCTCCACATTCACAACCCCAGTGTAAACTTTTAGCACCTCCTGCCTAGATTAGAGTCAAAATCTCTTGGCTTCTTTCCTTGACAGAAGGTACTTTCTCTATAATGCAGGCTTCACACTACCTCCAAAATAATCTTCCAAAAATACTAATTTTTTCAGCAAACCTATGATAGTTCTGTAATGATAAACTCAGCCCTCAATACTGCCTTGTTTTAACTTCCATTTTTGTTTCTCAAGACAGACTGAACATGAGCCCAGTCTACAGGAGTTCCTTTCCCACAGTCTCTTCAACAAGGCATGTCTGCTGGCTATGGTACAGGAAGATCACATGAATCCACCGGCCTTACATTCTTCCTGAATCTCAGGAACAAAGTTCTATGCCTTTCTGGAGGTTTTCCTTGATGCTAATAATTCCTCTTTTTAATATTCCTTTCTACCCTCTACTTTGTTTGTCAAGCAAGGGATTAACTAAATTCTTCTCCAATAGTTTACTGTTTCCTGCTAACTTTTTTTATACTGCTGGATTGACTGCAGTCTGCTCCAGCTGCAGGTTGATGGAACATATCTTTCTCCCCATTATTAGGAGTTGACAGAGTCTTGAATTTAAAGTAAATCCTCAATTAAATCACTTCAATGGCTGATATATTATCTTTCCTACTATTAATTATGTAATCTCAACCATGGATCCCATTTCAATTTTTGAAAATATCATTGAATCATACTTAAATATACATTAAGTTAGGCAATTAAGATAAGCAAATAAAACATATTTTCACACTCGTGTTTCATTCAGTCATTGTAGTATTTGCATATGGCATTATAGTAACTCTCTACCTTATAGATAGGTAGCTAAGATCTTAAAGTTTATCTCCTTTTATAAATTTAACTACTCAAGAGTTAAAACAGGAAAGTCGTGAATAAGTACAATGGTTAACCATCTCTTTCCATTTATAGAAGTACTTTTTGTACTTTTTATTTTAATACTTTGAGCCAAGCAAAACATTCTCTGTGGCTCTCCTCTCCTTCTCCTGCTTTCTTTCATTCTGCCATCCTTTTGACTCCACTGCTCATCCTGAGCATTTCTGCTAAGTATATTTCCCTGACTTTCCATTAGACAGTGTTGTGAGCTCTCCCTTACTGAGACAGATAAAGGTTCGTTAGATAAGAATTTCCAGGATGGGAGGTTAATACATTTTATTTGGACTTATCAAGAGAATGTCTATTTTAAAGTGTTAATTACTAATTTCTAATATCATATAAGAACACCCTTTTTCTGGAAGTACCAATTTCCTAAACACGTGCTGACAAGTTTGGAAAGCCATAGATATGTGTATGCTTTAGTGAATGCCAGCATTAAGAATATATCTCAAATGTATGAAGTATTATAGACAAGGGAATGCATGAATAGTGATACAATCCTTCGGAAGCTTCTTTCTCCCACTTATTTATTTCTCTAATTCTAATGTTCAATTTCTCACCAATAGATTCCAGTACATTCATTTTTTCTCTACCCCACCCCAAAATCACACACACTTCCCACACACATACACCCTCTTTTTCTCCCAAACATGAGACAGATTTTTGCAGTAAACATAGATTTGGCTCTAAATTAGGTGCTACTGGGAGCTTTTATAAACTCTGAAATTATTTCCAAGTTATTCACTTCCAGGAATAACTGGTTCACATTATATGATTTTCCTAGATTCTGAACTGAATGACAATTTTTAGACCTATATAAGTAATAATCTAAGTAATTCTGTCTTACTGTAAAAAGGAAATGCAACACTAATTGTGAGCAGCATTTAAAAAATAAACTTTATGTCATTGGTTATTTTGCTCACAAGGTGGCAATCATCAGTACTCTGCTTTATCTCTACTTGTATTAAGAATCTTGTATTTAAGTGGTCGTTGACTTAGGTTACCTCAACATACATACGATCTATCTTCAGCATTCATTCACACTGAGCAAATTCACTATACCTTTTTCTCAATTTCTTGTCTATGAAATGACATGGTGTCAAGTTGTCTTGATTCATTTTGTTTGGCTACAATAAAATATCAGAGATTGGGTAATCTATAGCAAAAAGAGATATTTTCTTATATTCTAAAGGCTGAGAAGTCTCATGTTGGAGGAACATACCTGCTATGTTCTACCTCAGCAGAAGGCAGTACACGGCAAGGCAGCAGATGTGCTGATCACTTTTGGTCTTTTGGTGAGGGCACTAATCTCATTACAGGGGGCTCTTCCTCATAAGCTCATCTAATTCCAACTATACCCTAAAGATCTCATCTCCAATTCCCAATTGTGCCCTGATGGTACTGTTTCCAACAAGTTTGGGGGATACATTTCTAACACATGAAATTGGAGGACCACACTCAAGTCAAGGGACCAACGTCAGCAGCTTGTCTCTGTTAATGATTTTCACTCTTTTCCTCATCATGTTATTGAAAGATAACATGAATGCAGAAAATTACCATAAGATCAGGGTGAAGAGTTCCACATAAACAGTACCTGATAAGAAAAATAAAATATTATAGCAATCTAAAGAAAATGTACTATTATTTTTAATTCTATTTTTAGTTTTGTGGATATTTGCTTTTAGAAATAGATTTTATTCTTTAGAGCAATTGTAGGTACACAGCAAGAGTGATACAAGAATGATGCTCACTTTTATTCTTGATACATACACATGACGACTTCAGGGACACACATCTCCTCGTTGGTTTTCAGATCCTCTGTTTCATTGTCAAGTATGTCTCTTGAGGGATATGACACGTTAGCTACATCTACTGTGCACATTTGACTTCAAGTTTCTAGAATGTCAGTGCTGTCAACATACCGCCTCTACTTTGACATGAAGTCTTTCTAATATAGTTGCTAGCTGCTAGATTTCTAATGAAATCATCAGCTAGATTTTTAATGAAAGCATCAGATATTTCTTGATCTTTTCTTCCAGAGAATTTCCTTTCATTGTGTATCTCAGTTCCATTGAAGATAATGTGGATTTTTTGATCTTACAGACCCAACTATTTGTTGTCATTCCTACACCCACCCACATAGAACTCAGGGTATGGAACATGGTGACAACCAAACTGGAAAATTCCATCTGGTCTTATTTAGTTCTTTGTAAGCCTATTATGTAATTGATCCTGTATCACCTAGTACCTCTCATTGAAAACATAAATGACTTTAGCCCAACATAGGCTAGTGTTTCATGGACTCTATTGTGAGCTCTTGAACTCTGAATCCCTAAAATACTGACATGAACAGTTATACCCTAACATATAGTCGGTCACCTTACCAACTGCATGATTCTGAGCCCTCAGTTCTTTCTTAAACATGGAGTAAAGTGATAATTTCATCTATTATTCATGTTGCAGATGCATGGAGTGGAGTCACAAAAGAGCCTGAGGTATTTGTGGGTACTGCTGTCATGGAGTTCCCTTCCCAGGCCTTCATGTGTGTGGCTTTGAGGTGTCATCGAAATTAAAAATTAAAAATTCAATTCTCTCTCTCTCTATCTCTTTCTCAACCCATAGAGATTTTCATCTCTGATTTTGCCACTTCTGAAGAGTTCTTAGAACTTGCATTGCCTATTTTAAAATAATGTGCATAATTAAAGATCAAACTCTTTATCGCTGTGACAACCATATTAAGTACATTTACCTCTGCTTGTAATTTAGTTTTCATAGTGCTTAGTGTGTTGGTTTTCTAGAGCTTTTTAAACAAAAAGACAGAAATTAAGTAATTAAAGCCAGGTTCCAGTAGCTTTTGCCTTTAATCCTAGCTAACTACTCAGGAGGCTGAGATCTGAGAATGATGGTTCAAAGCCAGGTAGGCAGGAATGACTGTGAGACTTTTATCTCCAATAAACTACTAAAAACCGCTGTGAAGTGCAGCTGTTGCTCAAGTGATAGAGCACTAACTTTGAGCAATGAAAGAAGCTAAGGAACAATGCCTAGATCCAGAGTTCAAGCCCCAGGACTAAATAAATAAGTAAGAATAAAAAAAATTAAAAAGCTGAAATATATTGCCATAATTCTGGAGTCTAACCACACAATAAAAGTCAGGATACTCCCTCTGAAGCTTGAAAGAAAAGTCTTTTGCCTTTGCCTAGCTTCCAGGGACTCAGCACTCCTTGATGATATCTGTCTCTGCTGTTGTTATCAGGCCTTCTCTCCTTTTGGTCTGTATCTCTCTGTTCAGATTTCTTTCTTTTCTAAAAAGATTCAATAAGGCTAAACATAATCCAGGATGACTTTATCTTGAATGCATTTACCAAGATCTTATTTCAAGACCAGTTCATTTATTCTCCCTTATCAAGAGTTAAGACTTGGACATATCAGTTTTTCGGGGAACCCATTCATCCTATAGCATTTTAAATGCAAAGATTTATGACTACAATTTATTTAAAGTCCAATGAACTACTGATATCTTTTAAAATAATGTTATTTTGATGAAGTAATAAGATGGTTGAGTCACACCTTTTTTGAATATAAAGACATTTAAATGACAACTTGGAGGGTGGGATGAGAGAAAGTAGGAGAAAAATGAGGGAAGAGGTAATACGTTTGACAAGAAATGTACTTATCAACTTATTTAACTGTAACCCTTCTGTACTTGATAATAAAAATCATTAAAAACGAAGTTTATGTGCTTCTGTGAAGCATATAAAATAGGAATTTTTATTTTATATAATGCAGCCTAATTTACACGAATTATAATACATACAGAAGGAAATCTGAGGTAGGAAGGTGGCGTAATTCTAAGACCAGAGAAATATGTCTTCACTACAGTTCCATCACCAAAAGTAAATTAACACTCAGACATTTATGCTTGGTTGGTAATGAACTGCTTATGAAGGTAAGTTAAGACAGTCAAGGCCTGAATACGTAAGGGAGATGGAATAGTGCTGCTTCTGTTGTTGTTATTGTTTTAAATAAGACCCATTGCCTATTCAAATATTTAATTTTCCTACAGTATGAATAATTTGCATTAAGTTGACATTGAATGAAAGAAGAAGAAATTCCTAGAAATGCCTACATACATTTAAGCATTTCTTTTTTATCAAATTTATGTGATTCCAATAAAAATTACCACTATAGCTTAAAAAATACTACTCCATCCACAACGTCATCACACCTTATTTTAAATTGGTGATCAATGTGGATAAAAATAACAGTTTAGCTTCCAACATACTGTAAAAATAAATAGCACATTATATGATTATATGCTAACTTTTGTCAGGCTAATAAATACAATATAAAGATAAAATTTTATAATCATAATCATCTTCTTTTATTTATATCCTGCTCCTACTGAGATGAATCTCGGGTTACATTTACATATTGAATTACAAAGTTAAAACTAATGATGGGATCAATTATGCCCCATACTGAGCTGTGCACTTTGGAATGACTTTGAGAAAACAGGAGGGTCAAAAAAAAATCATCCACAGTGCACAGTGGTTTCAAGATAATGTCAAGAGACAAGCAATGGACTGCAATGGACAAGAATTTGTGTTTGTCAAAGAAATCAGGCTTCCTTGGTGTACATTTTTAATATAAAAATGTTTGAGAATTGAGAAATACATGGGCTGTGCTAAGAAAGTGGCTTAAGTCATTTAAGGTGGAAAACATAATGAAAATCCCTTCAAGATCCTGTTGCTTATTCTTGAAATTCTTTTTAATGTACTTTTATATGTATTGCTATCTCTCAGTTGAAATATCATCTGCCTTTGTTTGTTGTTGTATAGAATTTGATGTTACCCCCTTTCTCTTCTTCTAGCTGCATAACAAATGTGCTTCTCATCTGAAACCTGAATGTGACTGTGGGCCTTTGAAGGACCATATTTTACCACCCACAACAATCTGTCCAGTGGTACTGGTGAGTTTTCCCTTATCATTCTGCTGTAACTTGAGGATGCTCTGCCTAATTAGTACTCTATTGCACTAAATGTTTCCAGAAGTGATTTTTTCCCATGAATCAAGGCAGAACTACATAGACCCAAACTACATCATTACTTCAGAGCAGAGCAACTTTGCTCACTGTATTTCCTTTTTCCTTTACATCACAACTTACTCTGTAGTAAAGAAAGGTATGCTTTCACTGAGGCAGACTCAGATTTTATCACTTAGTCAAACTGTACTTACCAGAAACTGTATGGACAGGGCATATACATTTCATATGCTTTATTGGTCTAGCTTCCCAGAATAATGAAGTTACTCTTATGGGCAATTTTGCCAGGGTTGCACATTATATATCTACCATGTTGAGGTGTCTTAGTTAGGTCAGAGGCTGCCTAAAATGATGGGACCAACCTTGAAAAATGCTATTCCCCACCATTAGCTGTTATTTTTTAATTGAACAATAAATTTAACTACCTGTAAATTAATTACTCTATGAATACAGAACTGGAAATGCATGAGGGAAGTTAACTTGAGAATTTACCTCAATAAGAATAGTAAATATTCAAATATTCAACATTATTTTCAAAATTTAAATTGTTTCCACAATGCTAGTTATTTTGCAAAACTATTTTATGTCTATACAGGGTTCTCATTTTTAACACAATATGGAAATTCAGTGTCTGGTTTATGGTTTACTGCAGAAAGAATAAGTAACAACTGAGAGATGTTAGACAAATACTTTTGTAAAGGTCAACCTAGAAATTAATCAAATTACTCAATTTGTACCCACTTATGATTCATTTTGTAATTATCTCTAAAATGCTGGTTGTATTTTACATGAATTTATTTAAAAGTTACTTGAAAAAATGCTTTATTTTCTCAAAGTATAGAAATAGAGGAAAAGAAGATACTTCCATATTAAAGAGAATAGTAATGAGTAATTCTAAATTTCCTTTCTTCATGTAAAGAGGTTAATTAAGGAGGTTTTAAGGAGGTTAATTAAGAATAATAAAAATGATACATTTTAGACTACTTTATTATTGTTTTATGTCTTTAAAGAGCTACTTAAAGAGGAAAGAACTCTAAAATGTTTACATTATTTACACACTTTAACTAAGTTACCTTATGTTTATTCATCCTTAAAAATATGAGGAAACTTTCTCTTTTAGATGAATTGTTAATCTCAGATTTTAACTGTAAGATTAAATATGCAATGCCATCCTACTTGCAATTGTATATTGACACTATGGTTATAGATACACCTGTCTATTTGTGGCCACACAAACTCAAAAACAGAAGGAATTTGTTATGTTATTACTGTTTACTGTAACAGTCTTGCAAACCCTTGCTACATTTAGGTCCTTCTGGTTCTCAAGTTTGAGTATCAATCTTTCATATTCCTCAGATGTTAATCATGGTCTCCATGCTAATGTTTGTATTTATTTAGTCCTCTCTTCTCCAAAGTATTTAACAATTAGTGACCATTTCATCTTCAAAAATTTAACTTGCTTCTGTCATATTGCACATTCTTTCTTTTGGATATTTTGCTTAGTGTCTTTCTTAGGCAGTGTCAGTGCATTCTTTAGTCTAGCTTTTCTAATCACAGCTTTACACTTTCATCCCAATGGAATCTTGTGTACATAGTTTATGTGACAATGAGTAATCTTATATTCTGAACAAATATACTATACTAAACACTGTTATATATATCAGAACTATAATCTGGACCAAAATATTAAGTAATTAATACAATGAACATTAATTGAATGTTTAGTATTTGCAATTAGTATGGAAATTAAATAGTAAAATATGCTGGGGCACCACACATATAATCCTATAGGATTCAGGAGGCTGAGATCTGAGGATCATGGTTCAAAGCCAGACTGGGAAGGAATGTCCTTGAGACTCTTATCTCCAATTAACCCTGAGAAAACCTGAAGTGGTGCTATGGCTGAAAGTGGTATAGTGCTAATCTTGAGCCATTTAAAAGCTCAGGGATAACACCCAGGCCCTGAGTTCAAGCCCCACACCAACCAAAAATAAACTCAATGGAAAATGTAAAAACAAATGTTTAGCTTTATAGATTTTTACACTCCATTGGGGTAAATGACACAATAATAAATATAAGTAAATTAATTAAGACCTCGTTAAAGTTAAATATATAGTGATAGAATGGTGGTCCCTAATTCTTAGCAAGCAAGGAAAGGAATATGCCCAAAGCATATAAAGTTCTAATTACACAGGACAAATTAGAGATCTAGTATATAGAATGGTGACTCTAATTAATAATACTGTATTATACACTGGAAATTTGCCAGAAGATTAGACTCTGAGGCTGTTACCACATCAAATAAATGTTAACTTTTCGACAGAAAAATATGTTAATTTTCTTGACTCTAGAAATCATTCTATATTACATATGTATGTTTCTAAAGAATGAAATTATAACAACAAATTAGCCTACAACAACCTGATTAGCCTTTATCTGTGATTCACGAATCAATGCAGCCTCCATTTTGCAAAATGAGAACTCTCATTGGGCCTCAGCAGAGCAGTGGATTTTGTGAAGTGTGAACAGGGAAACAAATGGAAGAAAAGAAGAAAATATGCTGGTTGGTTATCATCTAGTTGCTTTTTAAGTAAGAAGTGAAGCAGAAGGAGCTTCCTTATGATATTGATTTACATAAACTAGATTTCCCTTTTAGGAAAGCAAAGATCTGTTTCCTTCACATTTTCAGTTTAAATGGCACTTAACAGGAAAAACTCCATTGTTTATTTGGGCTGGTCTGTGAGGCCTACTAATGCAGAATGTCAGTTCAAAATATGTTTCCATGTGTATCTATTTAACAATATCAAAATGTTGTTATATATACTTTACCAATTATCCAATCAAAAATAATGGTTGTATTTCAATGTAAAGAGCAAAATTAAAACAGGCAAAGAAAAGAAAACCTAAGGTTGCAATTACCAAAAAGACATTCAAGAAAAGTTCACTGAAGAGATAAATGAGGATGGAGGAGTAGAAAGGAACTAGAAAAGACACAGACTGTAATGTCAGCAGACATAGGCTGCCATGTGAGTACAATCAGAAATTGAGGAAATTAGTGGCTGTCTAAATTGTACAGGAGAAGGTCAAAGACTTCACTGATTTCCGTATTGTTTAAGGCAACTTCAGATAGTATAAGATATTTAGCTTTTATTTGGAATGAGGTAGAAAACCATTCATGGATTTTGACCAGAAGAGAATGACCAGGCTTATATTTTGAGAAGTACAATTTAATTGTTATGATGAGAGGGCAAAGTAGGGGAAAAAATGACTCACCATTGCTACTTCTAGAGCAACACAGGAAGTTGGGGGGTCACTGGCTGACACTTAGGATGCTTAAGAAAGTTAGAAGTGTGACAATTCAAATACATAGCAGTCACCCAGGGAATGAGCACTAGGGAATAGAAACCTCTATTTAATCATCATGGATTTAGAACAGTTGTAGAAAGATTCAAGCAGTCTATTTCAGCTATATGTCTCCAGCTAAGTTCCAGCTCCAGATAGAAAATAGACACAGCACACACATACACAGTCTCATTAGACATTGTGCATTTTCAATCATGATGAGGAAAGGGAAGCTTTGGAGCAGAGGTTTCTTTGCATAGCAGTGATTGTAAGGATTGACTCTGGGATGAATACAAGCTGGAAAGTGTGACACGTTAAGGAGATAAAGAGTGTGGTGCAGTTAGCCAGGACAAATACAATTATGGATCATAGTAAAGCCCAAACTTATTAGACAAAAGGTGAATGGTTTCAAGTTATGAGAATGAACTCAGTTTGAGCTGAAATTATGAAGGGGGAGATGTTACCAGTAACGAGATGTATAAATCTACTTAAAACTCACAATAAACCAGGTGGTAGTTACAATCCTAACTACCCAGGAGGATAAGGTCCACAGGCAACTAACTCATAGTAACCTATAGATAAACATGATCTCCATTTTACTTTGTGGAAACTGAGAAATAAAAGAATTAAGTAAACCCTCCTGTGTCACTTGACAATAAATGGCAATTCAAGAGTGGAATCTAAGGGTGACTGGCACTTCAGAGCTACAAACTAAGATTTCCCTGCCCCCATACTTTCCCCAAATTCCAGCAGAGAGTTCCTATTTGTCTTCTCTACCTTCAACTTCTCCATCTGAAGTCCCATAACACTTTTGGATTCCTTGTCTTAATATACTAGCTATTAAGTATCCTATTGTAATTTCTTAATGGGTCTCATTTTGACTCAATTGTAATGATCTTATATGCCATTCTGATGAATTTTACTCAAGATTGTCCCAGTAGCATTCTTTCAGAACTACCTACTTCTGATATATTCCCAACCTGCTTCCTCTGTCCACTTTCTAAAATAAAAATGTTGTATGTTTCTTTTTATGCATAAGGTATTTTCAGTGATTCCTTATTTGAATTCTAAAGTCTCTGCTATGGTAAACAAGGTTCTTTAACTGGCTCAATATACCCAGTCTCTCACAAACCTCCTTAGACACTAGAAATCAAGGATAATTGAACTACTTGTACTTTCATAAGTACACCTGTTCGCTCAAGCCTTTGGAATCTTGTATATGTTAATAAATCAACTTAAATCACTTAATTTTAGAATTTTCCTCGCCTTCCTAAGTAAGAATTAAAGGTCACTTTTGTATAATAGAGTAAATACATTGACTATTACACTCTTAACTATTTAAATGCTCATACTTTAAACAAATTAATGAAGTTGCTCTGCCTACAAAATTGCTTAATCTGCTCAAACTGATGGCCCTTGAGCCTTTTCAGTCTATGAACTCTCATTAACTGCCCTGGAATCATTCCATACTCTCTTGCCTGCTATAAAGTTTAAGGCTTGTTTTTTTGTTTTTGTTTTTGATTGGTCATGGGGCTTGAACTCTGGGCCTGGATGCTCTCAGCTCAAGGTGAGCATTCTACCACTTG